GTACATTCTATTTTCAAAAGTCCCACAATCTAAAGGTAACCAAATTCTAGCTCTGTCTGATCAGTCACAAACAGGTGTGAGTATCTGACCCAATTCCAGCCCAGACACGAGCCAGAGCTTTGTCCAAACTATCAGAGAGAGGTGCCCTTTCTGCTTGTTGCAAGTTACGGTTCCCAGCATCATCATCACCTATTCTAGCCATGCCTGAAGCCAAAATATCTGGGTCTTTTCAATAATGATGCTTGTACATTTTCCTATGGCCAGTTTGCTTTTTAAGATTTATGTCCTTTTAAAAGAATCTTAACTGAGAACCAACAAAATGGCTCAGTGGGTAAAAGCACTTGCTATGCATGCTGACAAACTGATCTAAATCCCCAGGAACCCACATAAGAAAGCCTGGTGTTGTCCAGCTATAATTGCAGCACTCCTACCTCCAGATGGGAGGTGAAAACAGAACAGCCCAGAAGCTCACAGCCGGTCAGCCTGGATTAAGTAGCACCACAGAAACAAGAAACCCTGTCTCAACAAATCAAGGGAGAATAGACTCGAAAAAGTTGTTCTTTGATACACACACACACACACACACACACACACACTTGGGGATGGGGGAAAGAAGACTAATAATAATAGCCAGGCGTGGTGAGCCGCACCTTTACTCCCAACACCAGGAGCCAGAGGCAGGCATATCACTGTGAGTTCAAGGCTTGTCAGACAGATCTACATAGCAAGTCCCTGTCACAAAGGTAAAAAAAGAAAAGGCAAAATGATGTCATGATGCATGTACATGTTCATGTGTGGATACCAGAGGTCAAAACCAAGTGTCGTCAATCGTGCTGACCCCCCCCCCCCTCGCCCCACTTCTCTGACCTCTAGCTCAGAAATCCACTGGTCTCTGCCTCCAGAGTGCTGGGATTAAAGGTGTGCTCTATCACATCTAGCAAGTACTGTTTGAGACAGAGTCTCTTGCTGAACCTGGAGTTCACTTGTTCAGCTAGACTGACTACGTGTCCCAAGACATTTCAGAGATACTGATGTGTGCAACCCTCATGCTTACACAGCAGGCAGGCACTTTATTTTATGGGCAGAGCCATCTCCCCAACCTCCATCCTCTTGCTTTTTTAAAGACAGGCTGGCCTTGAATTCTCTGTTATAGCTGAGGATGACCTTAAACTCCTGATTCTTCTGCTTCCCCTCCTAGTGTGGGCATTACAGGTGTGTGTAGCACCGGTCAAGGACAGGCTGGGCAAGCACTCAAACAACTGAGCAGCACCCCAACTCTGTTTCTTGGAGGCACACTTCATTTCTGCTGCTGTTGTTGTTGTTCATCCAGAAAATATTTGAGAGTCAGACACTGTTCTAGGAACACAAAGATTATTCACTAAACAAGCAAGACCCCAGTTTTCAGAATATACATTGCTACGGAAGAAAGAAAGTGGGGTGGAAAGGGAACTTCAGGACGACTGGCTGTTGGGTAGGATTTTCTGAGAATCTGAGACTTGAGTAGACTTATGGAAATGAGAGAGGTGGCAAAATGGATGTCTGCAGTAAGAGTCCTAAAGAAGGGAGGGTGAATCAGGAAACAGCCTGGAGGGGTCAGGGAAAGGGTCAGACTATGTTGGACTGGAAGGACCACTGAGAACACTGGCCTTTACTATGAGTGACAGGGGGACATTCCAGAGACTTGAGCAGGAAGAAGTCAAGTTGGACTCCCAGGCTACAAAGTTGAGAATTGCTTACTTGATCCACGGTATTAGTTAGCTTTCTTTAATACATGTATTTATTATTATTAGTTGTTTTTTTTTGGTTGTGATTTGTTTGTTTTAAGACAGAATCTCCTGGCTGTTCTGTCTCAGAGTTCATTATATAGCATTCGGTTTGAAGGTTAAAGGTTTAAAGGAGGGAAAAAGCGTTCAAAAGATAAAGGGGGAGGATCTGGATTCCCACACCCAGTGAATGAAATGTACAAGGAAGGGACACCTCGGTGGAAGGAAGGGTCAGGAAGTAGGCAGTGAAACGGGTGGGATGTAACCAAAGATGGGGGCTGAAAGGGTCCAGTATTCAGTCCCAGAATGCACACTGAAGGCGAAGGCTGTGTCACAGAAGAAATGTTCAGAATATATGGACAAAAGGAAAAAAGAAGAGAAACAGGTCAAGTGGTATTAAACATTTTAGGGAGGGGGAAAATTAAGTAATATAAGGCTGGGGTGGTTAGCTAGCATCAGAAGAATTCTTCAATCCAGCCCTTGGTAGACAAAAAAAATTCTTCCCATTGTACCACAATTTGGACAACATAGAAGCTGACAGATTGAGCATTCACCCCAGAACCAAAGAGCATGAAGAAGTGTCCGTTATACTGGTGATGACACCACCTGAGGTCAGAGAAAGCAATTCCCCACTCCACAATAACCTGGCCCTGTGTTCGCCTGTCAAAACCTTTATGCCTCTTACCCAGGACCAAACCTAAATCCTTGTCAGCTACGATGAAAATCCCAGTGTCTAAAGAGGCAGGAAAAGGCCTCTTCTCACAAGTCTGCAGCACCTGATTTTACCTCCAACAACACATGCTGCCCAAGCGCGGCAAACATGGGCAAGGAGAGCTTCCCATCCACTGCCCTCACTTCTGGGGCTGGCTGGCTTCTCTTTACAAATACTTGGGGCAGGGAGGGATTGGAGAGATGGCTTAGCAGTTTAGAGCACTTCTTCCTCCTCTAGAGGAACACCCCACCCGGTCAGGAGGTCACAGAGCCTGTACCAACACCCTCTCTAGCCTCTGAGGGGACCTGTGCACACACAGCATCCATTCACACAGAAATACACACATATACAGACACATAAAGTAAATCTTTCTTTTAAAAATGTATGCCAAGATAAGAAAATATTATTCCCAACTAGAGAGAACCTTACCCTCTAAGGAAAAGTGGCTGATTGTAAATCAGGCCCTTGAGACTTGGGTCATTTAGATGCTCCCCACAATTGTTAGGATACTTATTAAATGTTGAATAATTAATAACAGTGCCTTCAAGACTCTCTCAAAGAAAAGATCCTGTGGAAGAAACCATCCATATTTAGACATGGGCCTCGCTTCCTGCCAACCAACCAGATTTTAGTGGGACAGAGAACTTACCTTCCCAGGGTACTTATTAGTAAAATGGCTGCACTTCTGAATTAACTACCCAAGAGTGAAGCATAAAGAAATACTGAAAATAGCTGTAGATAAGGCAAGGGATGTAGCTCAGTGGTAGAGCACTTGGCCTGGGTTCAACTCCTAGCAACACAAAACACACACACAGTAGAAGCCAGGCTCCAAGATGGTCACAGTGATCTCCATTTCCCAGAATACTCTCGAACTCACACTCTCTTCCCATGCAAAAGTCTCTCCATAACCAATAAAATACAGCAGGGGCATGTCACTTTCGTGATCAGTTTATATAGGGCTGATGGGCTGTCTTGAATCACTTTCTCTGGCACAAAGCAGATACTATGCTGCAGCCTGTGAAGAGCCACATGAGTGAGCCTGGAATGGAGGTTAGAACCCGCCCAATCCAGCCTTCAGATAATAGCAGCCTCCTCCTGACCAACAGACAATCACTTCAGGTGCTAAATTCTGGTTCATTTGTTACACAGCTGTAAGAAAATAATTCCATTTCCAACGTAGAACCAAGACAACAATTGAAGGTTTAACTTTAGTTCTCATTTGACATCCATTAAAAATCAATTTCTCTACTAATAAGAAAAAAAACAATTTATCTTTCAGGCATTCGACAATCACTTTTTGAACTTCAAACATAAGCAAAGGGTTTGCAAGCTGCCTATGTTTTCATATAATTTAAAATCTATAAAAAAAACAATAACCACATAGGTAATGCATACGTTCAAGAACACATTTTGAGCTGTTCAATCAGTCAATTTCAACAGCTTATGCTTTACCAATATATATCACTCCCTGGTTATTCTGAAGGTTTGAGGCTATCAAGTCACACTGTCTCATGGGCACTGTTACCCTTCCATATGCCCTCCCATCTAAGGAAAGAAGAAAAATTAATTCTCTCGATTCCATTAATATTGGGGAAAAGGGGAATTCACTTAGTATTTTAGGAGGAGGAAGAAACCCTGATCTCAAATGCTAACTAAGAACAACTGAAATGTCTGCAACTCATGACTAAGTGGCAGCGGTAGTGCTCAAAATCCTGGTCACAGCTGAAATGGTGGTGGGGGCGGGGAAGATGCTGCCTCTTCCTCCTCACTGGACTTTGCAGTCTCTCAAAGCAGCAGGAGGGTAGTGCAGCTCTGAAACCAAGTGCCTCCCTATGCACAAAGAAGGTCAAAGGGCAAGCTTGCTTTCCACCAACCACAAAACCTACCACTGCCAACCCTAATCAATGTGGCCGGCTAAAGAAGGTGAATGAAACCCCAGACAGAAAACCACAGCGAGACTCTCCTCCCGCTGCCACTGAGGTCGGAGTCAGGTGACTCCTGGGGCAAACAGCAAACCTAAACAAAGATCACTCCCCACGTGACTGACTGGGGAGAAGAGCAAGACTGTTCAGTCCCACCCCGGAAAGCCATTAGCCATTAACTATTGCTTCTTTGCAGTATCCAGAAACTGGAGGCGCCAACAAGTTATTCCTATTCCGCAGTCCTCTTCAAGGAATGCACCTAGAGGTATGATGGACCCCCCTTCCAAAGACCAGTACTGCAGCACAAGCCCCGGGCCCCCACATGCATGCTGCAACCTGAACCCCTCCCCACCAGCTGTCACCCGCTCTCTGGGCTAGTCTCAGTCAGACAGGGAAACACACATGCCCTCTGGCCACTCAGGCAGCAGCTGCGACCCCGCGGGGGCAGCAAGAGGACACGCTTTGGTCAAGGGATCTAGGGGCCAGAGCACGCCTGATCCCCGGGAAAGGGGCTTTCGAATGAGCACCGCCCGGTGTTAGGGGTGGCCCTCGATCCACCCTTCCTCTCTCCGCCCCAGGAGTCCCCAGACCCAAGCACCCCACCTTGTCACCGAAGCTGCGGGCCATCAGAAGGTCCGGGCTGGGCGTGCTGTCGCCTCCCACGGCCTCCTCGCTGCTGGAGCCGGCCAGCGGGTGCGGCACGTCGCGCAGGGACTGGGGCCCCGTGGACAGCAGGGCCTTGGGGGGCCCGCCCGCCATGGCGCGCAGCGCTCGGGACCCGCCGCCGCGGTTGCTTCCCCCCCCCACCCCCCGCAGCACTCGGCCCTGCTCGGCTCGAGGCCCTGTACCAGTCGGAGGGGGTCCGCCGCCGCCCGCCGCTTCTCCTGCCCGCAAGGCTGGGCTTTCCCGAGAGGCACACCGCAGCTCCGCACGCAGAGCAGGGTCGATCCCCAGCACCTCCGGCCCTGCGCCCAGCTAGCAGCGCCACGCCGCCCACGGCTCCCAGCCCCGCCCCCGCGGAGCCTCGCCTGCGGGGAGGGGAGGGGGAAGGCGGGACGCCGGGGGGCGGGGCTTAAGCCAGGAGGCGTCCCGCCCCGCCCTCCTCCTGGCAGGAAGTGCGCCAACTGGCAGCTGCGCTGCGGGCTACGGGGTAAGGGCTCTGAAGACGCTGTTGTAAGTCAGGGTCTTCCAGCCTCGCCACACTCGCAGGAGGAACCCAAAATAGAAATGTGGAGCATATTTTAGTAACGTAGAGAGTTACGTGGCCCAGAGGAGCTAGAGGAGTAGAGAAACTAGGAGGACCTTTAAAGAGGTAGTGTGGGATGTTTTCAGATCCACACTGATGTCCCCATATGGTCTGGCTTCTGCAGCTAAGCATGGTTTACGTAAGGCGAAACCTCAGAAGCATGAGCACCCGTAAATAGCATGTGCAGCAAACGAGTTACGGCCTTACCAGCGAGTGCAGTCTTCTGCAAGAGCCGTAAGGATCATCATACATCGATGATTCCTATGCTGGCCTCCGGCCGTGCTGAATTCTCAACTTTTATTTGCTGGCATGGTGGAAATAGTCAAGGCATTACTCCCAACTCTTTAAAGTGTACCTTCGTCCCTTTTGCTTGTCAGGGGAACTTCTGTTCCTAAGGCCAAGAAGTTAGAGGGTCATCTACCCATCTAGCAATGACTTAAGTATTGTGAGACACACATTTTCCAATCCCCAAACTTGTTAGGTTTGTCCAGTTTTGCCTGCTAAAAAATGGTGACTACACTTGGCACTGGGACTCACAAATGGCTCTATCTGCCACACTTTTTCTAGAAACAAAAGTGGAAAACGCAGAATTGAAACCAACCCAAAATAACTACCAGAGTCTCATTTAACTCGAGTTTCTTCTGGCATAGTCCGAAGAGTTGGGCCTTTAGCAATGTCTTTTATCTCCTTCGAAGCAGTCTACCTTGACTGGGGAAATAAGATTGAAAGGCACTAACGACAATTTTAAATGCATCTGTTTCATGGGAGCACTGAGGTCTGAGTTGGGCAAAACTGTCAATCCATTTACATTTAGGAACTGCCTAAAACCATTACATACTCTTTTATTCTTCATTAAAACAAAAAATACAAATAAAATTATAAATGACTGATCTATAGATGTCTAACATTTTCTTCTTGAATATTGTATTTATTTTAACAATTGGGCCGCGTTAACAAAATGGATCTCTTAATATTCCATAGAAGTGGGACTGGAGAGATGACTCAGTAGTTAAGAGCAAAGCCAGCTCTTATAGAGAACCCAAGTTAAACAACACTCATAAATTAAAAACAAATATCAAAAGAAAATTCCACAGAAGAGCCAATTACATGACTCAGTAGGCAAAAGAACCTGCCCCTCATGCCTAAGGACCTGAGTTCAGCCTTCAGAGCACATCTATGAAAAGCCAGATGTTCCCCAGCAGCACTCCCACAGCAAGATGGAAGGCAGCAGCAGGAGAGTCTTCCTGAAGCCCTCTGCTCTGCTACCCTAGAGTACTCAGTGCTGCTGCTTCTACAGAAACATGAGAAACTCTGCCTTCATGGAGTGAAATGGAAGAACCAGCTCCCTAAAAGTTGTCCCTCGGGCCTCAAGCATGTGCGCACATGCACACACAATAAAATGGTTTCATAGCCTAGCAATTAGGGACACAGGCAGCTATGAGAGTTAGATGGGACTCTCAGGATCGAGGTCCTTAGGAGCTCTGCAAATGCTAATTCTCTTCTTTTTCCCTCAGGTCTTCCTCTACTACTCAATGAAACAACAACCACAGAATATCCATAGTTATATGATGCATCCCAAACTCCTTAGTTTGAGTTAAAATGACCCTTTTTTTAGTCCTCTCCACAGTGGAAGGGGAGGAAGAAAAGGAGGAGAGGAAGGGAAGGAGGGACAGGGGGATGGAGGGAGGAAGGGAGGGAGAGAGAGAAGAACCAGCATCCCTAAAGAGCCATGTGAAAATTTACTTACTTTCCTGGTCAGTCAGGGGCATCTGGCCGAAATGATCCAAATTGTAGTAGTTATCAAAACCAAAGAAAGTGAATACATAGGGAAATATTTTTGGTGGAAAGTTCCAGCATTTGTTTTCAGCTGAGGCCTGCCTGTTTTTGTTCAGTTTCCTGTTTCATTTCAGTGCTCCTTGTGGTGAGGAATAGTTCTTGACATAACCTAAGTCCCAGAGCACATGATTCTGTCTACTGAGAGCAACATGGAGGTGAAGAGGAAGCATGGGAAGTTTATCATAGCAAAAGCCTGTGGTGTTGGTTGGAAATTATTGAGAGAAACTTGGATTTCTAGGGTTGAGCACTGAGAAAAAAACATGGGAGTTTGTGGGATACCCCCAGTGGCTCTACATATTGGGAACTGCACTTCGCTGGAAAAGCCTGTCTCTGTCTCTGTTGAGATTCCACAGTCAAAATCATTACAACTTGAAGCACAATTAATAAAAGCTCAGACACAGATGTTGGAGTTCAACCTGAAGACCAGAAAAGTAAAGTAGCCAGCCACTGGCTCTTACCTTGACCTCAGTACAAAAATGGTGAACCTGCCTCCAGGAATCTCAGAATGAGACCGAGACTGGGGGCTGTCTCCTCCCATTTTATAATCCTCTCTAGTTCTGGTATTAAAAGCGTGCACCACTACCGCCTGGTTTCTATGGCAAACTAGTGTCCCTACTGGGATCAAAGGTGTGCGTTATTGCTGCCTGGTCTGCAAGACTGACCAGTGTGTCTGGTTTACTTTTTTGATCCTCAGGCAAGTTTTATTTACTAAAATACAGATGAAACGCTACCACAACAACTTTGTGATATTGGAATGTTGCAGGTTGTCTTTGGCTATCTTTAGTTCCCTTAACAGTCATTTATTGCTGGACATGGTGGTGCATACCTTTAATCCCAGCAGAGACAGGAAGATCAAGTCCAGCTTGGTCGACAGAGAGTTCCAAGACAGCTAGCACTACACAGAAACCCTGTCTCTAAAATAGGAAAATAAATAAATAAATGGTAAGATACCTATGTATTTGGTATCTAACTTCCTTTTGACTATCAAGCAAAATCTTTAGGATGTGTTAACTCACCAAAGGAGTAGCTTCCACCAACTGGAAAGCTGAAACCATCATCTGAGAGCATCTGAGGCCTATAGCAGAGATGTCCCCACTTTGCTATAGCCTGACTATGTCCCCATGAATGTATATGGTAAACATGTTGATTTATGACTTTCCTTTGTTCTAGGACTATAAAAGTTTACCTAAGTCAGGATGTGGTAAACTTGCCTTTAATCCAAACACTGGGAAGGAAATTGATGTCTAGGAAGCTAGCCTGGTCTACATAGTGAGTTCTGAGGCAGTCAGGGCTATATAGTGAAACCCTGCCTCGGAAGGAAAAAAAGAAAGAAAAGAATCGTGCATGAACTTCCACAGTAGAACATGTCATTCCAAGTACACTCGACCCATGCTCCTTGGGGCATGGTCAAACTTACTTGGTCTAGAATAAACTATCTACCTTTAGAGCAAGACCCATGGGCCCTTCCCCATCTACAAGGAATGGTAAGCACTTAGACTGGGACCTATCAAGAGAGAGAGCCCTGGGCCCCACAATTTAGTAACTTTGCCAAACAGGAACCCCGTCAACCTCACTGGCAATTCTGCCAGGACAACATATGAGCACTCAGTCCTCAGAAACAAAGCAGGGCCAACAAAGGCATTGTCCCATTTCTCCCTTGGTACAGCGTGTGCTCAGAAACTCTTGGTGTTTGTATTAGCTGCTTATCCTCCTCTGGCTTTTAATACAATCTTAGCTTTATTCTATATGGCATCCCAAGCCCTGCCTCAAAATAACACCACAGCTTCTGAAGAGGATGGCTGGTGAGGACAAAGGAGGTTTTCAGAGAATGTTCAGAGTGACCGGGAACAAGCCACAGCGGGCTGTCTCGATCAAGGGGGGTGGGTACCCAGCTGAGAAGGCACAATCCCAACAGAGAGAAATTTGTGTAGACAGTTTAAGTCAGCTGGTGATATCTCAGGATAGAAGCAAATCCACTTAAAGCCAGAATCTGAAGGGTTTTACAAACAAGAAATTAAATCCTGCTGAAGAACAGACAGACAAGTTCTGGGGTGAATGACAGGATCGTTTTATCTCCTCATCAAAATGCTCAGAGGCGGGATGGGTGAAAGCTCTTGCTGTGCAAGTATGAAGGCCCAAGTTCAGATCCAGCTAGCCCATAGAGCCCCACGTAGGAGATGGCTCAGTAGTTCAGAGGACTTACTGCTCTTACAGAGGACCTGGTTTGATTCCCAGCATCCACATGGTGGCTCACCGCTCCCTGTGATTCCAGTTCCAAAGGATCTAATGCAGGCACTCATGCACATACAAAGAAAAATAAATAAATCTAAGAAAAATGAGCTGGAGAGATGGCTCAGGGATTAAGAGCACTGGTTGGTCTTCCAGAGGAGCTGGGTTCAATTCCCAGTACCCACATGGCAGCTCACAACTGTCTGTATCTCCACTCCCAGGGGATCCAACACACACATGATGTACAGGTAAACAGTAGGAAGAACACCCATTTACATAAAATAAAAATAAAGGTTAAAAAAATCTTTTAAGAAAAGTCATGTGTGGCCAGCCTGGTCTACAGGAGCTAGTTCCAGGAGAGGTTCCAAATCTATAGAGAAACCCTGTCTCAAAAGAAAAGCTGAGTGGTGGTGGTGCACACCTTTAATCCCAGTACTCAGGAGGCAGAGGCAGGCGGATGAATCTCTATGAGTTTGAGGCCAGTCTGGTCTACAAAGGCTAGTTGCAGGACAGGCTCCAAAGCTTCAGAGAAATCCAGTCTTGAAAAGAAAATCATAGGCAGCACTAGAGAGGGGAAAACAAAAGAATCCTAGAGGCTCTGGCCAGCCAGGCTAACCAAATCAGTGAACTCCAGGGTACAGTGCAGATCCTGTCTCCAATGATGATGAAGATGTGGCA